TGAACTGAATCTAAATGAACAGAAGTGAACTGAATCTAAATGAACAGAAGTGAACTGAATCTAAATGAACAGAAGTGAACTGAATCTAAATGAACAGAACTGAACTGAATCTAAATGAACAGAAGTGAACTGAATCTAAATGAACTGAACTGAACTGAATCTAAATGAACAGAAGTGAACTGAATCTAAATGAACTGAACTGAACTGATGAACCATTCTCTCACAGATAACAGGACAGGAGTGAATGCGTGTGAAGTTGCTGCTTTTTATGAAACCTGGTTGTTCATTTTCGTACAATAACTGTTTTTTATTTTGATATAATATTTTTAGCTCAGTTCCCTTCAGGGAGCTTGAATCTTTCTTGCTTCCTCAGCACGATGACAGTTTCTGACAGTTTCTGACAGTTTCTGACCAGTTCTGCCGGTAAGCTTCGCTGTTATCTGCTGCACATCTTTTAGTTTCCGACATGTAACTTCCTGTGAAACTGCGAGAACAACACGTTGGTTTCCTGATGCCCTCTCAGTGAGCGTTCTGCTCTGCACCTCCAGGCAGCAGGGAGAGCTGACCGGACCGGCTCTGTTCTGGAGCAGTTCTGGGTTTAACCGGGTCGTGGTTCTTACCGTTTTCAGGGCTGTTTGTGAAAGCAGAAGCTCCTGCGCCGCGCAGGTGGATGTCGGCCTGTCGGCCCGCGGCCCCCGTTCGCCATGGCAGCGGCTCTGCCGGAGTGTTACCATGGCGCCATGACCAAGAGGGAGTGTGAGGAGGTTCTGGGGAGGAAGAACAAGGATGGAGCGTACCTGATCCGGGAGAGCGAGACCATCCAGGGAGCGCTGTGTCTCTGCGTCTAGTGAGTGAAACTCAGATGCTGATTAATCAACAAATCAGATGCTTTGTTGATCTGATCTTTGTTTCAGAACAAAGCAGATCTGAAACACACTGCAAAAAAAAACATTTTACCGAGCGTTTTTGGTTTATAGTGCAAATGTCTTTCTTCACTTAATTAACCTTACATGAAAGGTTAATAGGTAACCTTTCATTTCCTTAATAATTCCTTAATATTGATAAAAAAGTATTTGTTCCGCAGATTATTTCACTTATAACCTGGAAAAATGTCTTTTTGTTAGTGAAATAATCTGCCAGTGGAACGAGAACTTTTTCAGCAATGGTAAGAAATTATTCACTTACAACAAGTTCCTACTTCTTCCTGAAAACTTACTTGTAAGTTTGTTTTGTCTTATTTTAAGTGCACTAAGATATTGACCAAAACTACTTGGTGAGATTTTGTATTTTTGCAGCGTTCATCTAATTATTTTAGCTTCTTTTAAGCCTTTTAAAGTTTGTTTTGAGATCTTTGGCTACCTTCAGAAGGAAATTATTTGTAACCTGAAAACTTACTTGTAAGTTTGTTTTGTCTTATTTTAAGTGTACTGAGATATTTTCACAAGATACTTGGCCGAAAATATTTGGTAAGTGTTTTTAAGTGCGTCCCCTCACCATCCTCTGCAGGGCGCTTGGCTCTGTACTGCAGCTTGTTCTGTTAAAATGCAAACTAATGAGTTTATTTCCACTAAAGTTGTGATGTAGAGGTTAACCAGCATCTATGATGAATTATTAGCAACGACAATATTTAACGTCTTGATCTTTAGTATGAAATGTACAGAAAAAATGTGATGTGCAGCATAAACTGAAAGACGAAATCTTACCGAGTTTTGAATCTAGTTTCTAGTGCAGATATCTTAGTACATTTGAAATGAGACAAACTGATACACAGAAGCTTGTTTTATGACAATAATGTCTTAATATTGATGAAAACAGTACTGATGAAATAACAGATTATTTCACTTATTATAAGTGAAATAATCTGCTAGTGCAGATTATTTCACTTATAATAAGTAATTTCCCCCATTTATAAGTGAAATAATCTGCCAATATAATTACTTCTTATTTACTTAAAACAAGCTTTTATATTTTGCTGAAAAGTTACTTGTAAGTTAGTTTTGTCTTATTTCAAGCATTCTGACATATTTACACTGGAAACAACAAAAATACTTGATGGATTTTGTGTTTTTGCAGCTGATAAATCAGTTAAAAATGTAAATGTTTGAGCAGTTTTTGGCTTTATAAATAATCCTGTTTGTGAAAAATGTTCATCCTCTTATGGATTTCTTTGCTTCTTATGTTTTAGACCATCGACCACGTTTTGGTTAGTAAACACTGCACAAACACAAAACCTGACCAAGTATTTTGGTCTAGTTTCTACGGCAAATGAAATAAGACAAAACTAACTTACAAGTAAATTTTTAGCGAGAAATAGGAGCTTATTTTATGCCAATAATTCCTTAATATTGATAAAAACGTTCTTGTTCCACTGGTAGATTATTTCACTTGTAAAAATAAATTTTTCTATGTTTTGGGTTAAATAATTTCCCGGGTCTGTAATTCATTTGCCTCCGAATCGTTTGACTAAAGAAACCAGTAATGAGACGGTTTTAGGCAAATTACAGCCAAACTAAAGTAATTGTACAAAAATGTCAAAATTTGCACAGAAATATAAAGATAGAACCCTAAATAAGCCACAGCTTATCAGGAAAAAAGTTTCTTTGGGGTGAACTTCACTTCAATGTTTGCACAGAGCGAGACGTTGACGTTAAATTACGCTTTGCACAAGGTCAGCCTTGTGACCTTTGCGGCAGGTTTTCCCATTTCTCCGTCTGAATTCTGTAAAATAAATGCCACTGGTGACAAAGAAACCTTAAAAAAGAGAAGTATGGAGACTTCTCTTCTTTTGACCTCTGAAGTTAGAAACTTCAAACAGCAGAAATACAAAAAGCTTTTCCTGCTGAATATTGCGATCAGGGTCTCAGCTGTTAAAAAAATTAAAGTGTGTATGTAGAGAAGGAAATGCATGACCCAAATAGATAACACTAACCTCATTTTTCTCTGCAAAACATATTTTCAGACTTACTGCCTCTGAGCAGCATCTGGTTTCTAAAATCCAAAGAGTGAATCTGCTGCAGAGTGGAAGGTCTCATGTTTTACCAGTTAGCGTTTTTAATGTTTGGATCTGGTGACTTTCCAGTAACTCAGGTTTTATTGTGGCTGCTTGCAGGATGTTAATGTTTAATGTGGTACATGCAGATTAGTTTGCATGTGTTGTTGAAGGAACAGAAAAATAGAAATAATATCTGCAGAAAGTGAACTGAGCAAAAATTAGAGAAGGAAGTTTGTGAATGTTGCAGGTCAATGAGTCGACACAACCTGCTGGTTTTCCTGGAAAGAAATTCAACTAATTTTACTGAAGAACTGAAGTTGACAACTGGATGAACTGAAATCACAAAAATTCTCCAGATGATGAGTTCACATAAAGAAACTGGATTATTTCACTTAGTTTTTAGCTCTTTATGATGTTCACAGTGCACAGTGGTGCAGTTGGTACAGCTGTTGCCTTGCAGCAAGAAGGTTCTGGGTTCGATTCCCAGCCCTGGTCCTTCTGCATGGAGTCTGCATGTTCTCCCTGTTCATAGTGAATTTACTCTGGGTTTCTCCCACAGTCCAAAAGCATGACTGTCAGGTTAATTGGTTTCTCCAAATTCTCCCTAGGTGTGAGTGTGTGTGTGCATGTTTGTGTGTCTCTGTGTTGCCCTGCGACAGACTGGCCACCTGTCCAGGTGACCCCACCTCTCACCTGGAATATTAGCTGGAGAGGCAGCAGCTCCTCCTGACCCCACTGAGGGACAAGAGTGTTAGAAAATGGGTGGATGATGTTCAGAGCTGCAGTTAATATCCTGATGCGATTTGTTGACAGTTGTGGTAGTTTAATGGCAATAAGCACAAATTGGAGCTGTGAGTGTTTGACACATTTTATGGTAAAATTAGATAAAAAATGAGGATTTTTAACAGTTAAATGTATTTGTATTTTCATAACTATTAAAAGGTAAGAACCAGCCATGACTAATTATTATGTTTTCAGTTATATTTTTGTGTTGTTAATAATCACCAACCGTTACAGGACAGAATTGAAGAAAAATGTTAATCTGGTATAATTTAATCTGCCCTTGTCAAGTCACATTAACAGAAAGTCAAGTTTTAAGGCTACAAACGCAAAAAGATGCAGGAAAGAAGACGAGCACTTCAAACATTTAAACACTGCGGCAAAATTTACTGCAGTTTAGTTTACAAACTAAATATGTAGTTAGGAAAACTACATATTTAGTTTGTGAATTAAATATTTAGCTTGCTAACTAATTATTTAGCTTGTGAAGTTAAGAGTTAGCTTGCTGATTGAATATTTAGTTTGTAGCTAAATATTTGGCTCCTAACTAAATAATCAATCTGTAAACTAGATATTTAGTTTGCTCATTCAATATTTAGAATGGAACTGAATCTTTTACTTGCTAACTAAATAGTTTGGAGCTAAATATTTAGTTTGCAATCTGAATATGTTGCTGTCTAAATATTTTGCCTGAAACTGTGACATTTGAATGAATAACCTTCTAACAGGCTAAATAACTCTAATTATTGCTGTTAATTTTTATGCTGTGTAACTTTACAAACGGCTTCCCGTAGACTTTGATCCAAAATAAATTAAAATGATTTTCCTGATTCTTTATTAAATCATTGTACTCGCTTACTGTACTGTCACCAAACCCACAGGTTAAATTTAATCAGAAATCCCAAAATAAATCTGACATTCACATAAATTACATGTGGGTGTTTAGAAATGCTAATCATGTCTGAGGAAGGTGTTGAACCTACCCAGGAATATCAAATAAAATGAGGAAACCAATGGGCGAAAACTGAGCCCTGAGGGACACCACAGAGCGGTGGTTTTACACCGACCCTGTCGCTGGAACCACTTATAGCTAACTGACCATCAAACCAGCAGCAGAATCCAGAAACGTTAAGAATAACATGATGCACCGGGTCCGACAGCAGACAAGAAGCCTGGAAGTTTAGATACGTTATTGCATTTTCATGTTTTTATTCCAGGTGTGGTTCTTGTAAAAACCATTAAGAGCCACATTTTTCTCTAGACAAGTGAGATCAATAAAAACATGTAGCTGGAACCGAATCACCTGCTGAACTGTATTAATCAGTCTCAATAAAAAAATAACCGTTATGTTTATTTCATTTAAATAAATCAAAATAAAATGTTGTCTTGACTCAAATTGTCCTAGTATCTCTAAATAAGAGATGCTGTGATGCTCCAGTAGCAGTCAGTCTTGCAGTGTTTCTGAATAGGCTTCTGACTGGAGGCCAGTGCTGTATGACTGTTATGACATGCTAAGAGTGCAACATAAGCCCTGTACAGATAATATTCCACAGCAACATGTTCTAGACGACGCTATCAGCTGCTAGCTAACTCTGCTGATCCGCCTCCTTTACTTTTGCTCCTCCTCTTTAAATCTGTCTCTGGACTTTTGGTTAGAAAGCAGAGAGATGTCACTATGATCGATGGACGAGATGGTTTGAACTTCCTCCTCTCTCTGCTCATATTCAACTCTTCTGGGATTTGGGGTCAAAGGTCAGGTACTATTTGAACATTCATGATGCTAATGACCTACATCCAGCTGCAAAAACGACACGTGGTAACCATGGTTACGCATCATAGCAACTGCCCTAAATAAGGGAAGTGAAAGTAAAAATCTATTGAGCTGCACAGCATCCAGACCCATAATCCTCCAAACACACAAATGATGAAGGTCTGGAGAAAGAACCAATCAGAGCTGCTCCGACCTGCAGCGCCTTAAACACAACCAACCTGAAAATGTTCCTTCATACGGACGTACTGACTGTGACTAGATGTCATATTTCACTGCCAAATAAGAAGTCTTAAGTGATTTTGGTCTAGTTTTAGTGTAAATGTCTCAGTAAACTTGAAATACGACAAAACTAACTGACAAATCACATTTCAGCCACATTTAGCTGGTTTTATATAAATAATTTCTTAATACTGATGAAATATTATTAGTTCCACTGGTAGATTATTTCACTTAAAATAAGAAAAATCTTTTTAGTGGTGAAATAATCTGCCAGCAGAACTAGTGATTTTTTAACCAATATTAAGGAATTATTGACTTAAAACAAGCTCCTACATCTTGCTGCAAAGTGACTTTAAGTCGGTTTTATTTTACTTCAAATGTACTAATATGTTTGTACTAGAAAGTAGAGCACAAATACTTAGTAAGATTTTGTATTTTTGTTTCTCTTGTAGTTTTCCGCATACAGTTGCATTTTCTGTGTGTTTCTATAATTTAAAAACACACATCGGGGTTCTTGAAGGGGCCGGTTGCTCATTGAATGGAAACTGAGTGGAACCAGTGAGACTGGCTGAGTTTGTGAGGGAAGCTGCTTTGCATGGCTGGCTGCCGTCAGAGAAGTGGTTAGTTTCTTTGTTCTTTTTATTTTTAGAAACCCCAGCTCTTCGTCGCCTTGCTCCACACTTTGATGAGGTAAGGCTGAGGTTTAGCTGCGGTTGAGCTTTGCATTCATCTTGTTCCAAAACGTGCTTGCAAGTGTGTTTTCACACCAAGTAAAATGCATCTAATGCACCGAAAATCATGCAGACGCCATGGCCAGATGATGAAAGGCATCAGATGATGCAGACAGACTGGATCTGCTCTTCATCCTGCCGGGGGTCAAAGGTAGCTCAGTCAATCAACTCTGTGTCTGCTGCAGGTCACTTCTGGTTCTCTGGACCTGGTTTAAGGTCAGGAAGGGGGCAGCTAACATCTCTGCAGACCCCACACATGCTGGACACAAACTGTTTAGAATTTCACCTTCAGGTCGTTGCTAGTATGAAAAAACAGCTTATTTTATCTCCCTTCTCATATATTTATGTTTAAAATGTCATTCTTGTTTGTGTGCAGAAACTCAAGTGAAGTTGTTTAGGTCTCTGTGTGGCATTTAATCATATTGTCAAATTTATTGATATTAAGTCATACACCTTTATTGAACAAGCAGTGGATTAAAAATAGTAAAATAACAATCCCGACAGACAGTTTTAGGAATTTTTAAACATGATTACTTGGATAAATGGTAAACGATATAACAAACAGAGACACTAGAGATATGATTAATGTTGTGTCAGACATGGTGCGTGACAGAAACCTTCAGTTTTACAGCAGAATCATTGCTGGTTAACATGGACAACAGTTTTCTGCGATACTTCCTCTAAATCATCCCTCACTAACAGACGTCTTGTTTTCTCTTTGCAGCAAACAGAAGGTGGTTTATACCTACAGAGTCCTGCAGGCGCACAACGGAAACTACACCCTGCTGGTAAAAAACACCTTTACGTTTTCAATATGTCGTCTCTTTGATTAATAAGCTGCTGCCTCTGGTTCTCTTCCTGCTCCACATTACATACTTATTTATTTGTGATTATTAATTGATCAATTTAGTTACTTTAGACTCGGTTCAATTGGGGAACAAAACTGCAACGTTTGTTATATTTTCAGCTGCACTGAGTCAAACCAACTAAACTCATTGAACAACCTGTTCCCCTCCTGGCCTGTGGGGGCGCTCCACCAAGAACCACTGAAGGAAACGACACAAAAACCTCTGAAGACACTGAGAGCAACTTCCTTCTTTACAAAGCGTAAAAAAATGGAGTGGCGTCAGATTTTAGCGATTGTAGGATTTCCCTTTTGTCTTTGGTAAAAGACCACAAGCTATTTCTCCCGCTAGCGCTAAGCTACCGCGTTTGTTTTGGTTGTTTTTACCCAGAATGCCCTGCGCTGTAATCCGCGGTCTCCGGTCCGCTTGATGCTCATTCCTTAATTCAAATGATTAAGGAGAACGTCCTTTAAGGTCTTTTAAAACTAAATGTTTCTGAGCAGAATTCAGAAACATTCTGCTCAGAATGTTTTTCTGCAAGTTGAATAAAGAAATTAGGTTCTTCTAACTTAAAATAAATTATTAAAATTGATAATGTGAGTGAATATAACACTGAACTGTGTGCTTGTTCAACTAGGTGAGGACAGTTTGTATAATTATAAATAATTATTTGGTTTAAGTTTATGTGTACTTTAATTACCCAGTTACATGATAAACAGAGCCAGTAGAAAAACAAAGCAAGTGTTTGTGCATTGTTTCTAAGTAAAGTTTGGTATTATTGATATTATCTTAATTTTGTATTGATCCGCTCATCTCTATTAAGTTACAGCAACTCACAATTATTTTTCTTTAATAATTTTCTAGTTGACTTTATTTTAATTTTCACGGCTGGAGGTGAAAATCATTTTGAAGTTCAACCACCTTCAAATGTTTTGCAGTGTTTGTCATTGTTTCATCACACAACTCTATTTTCCACAGCAACAAAATGCAAAAACCTTTTTAATAGCTGTTCTCACACTGATTATGATCAGTTAATTAAATAATGCGTTTGGTTGGCAGCAGCTCACCCACAGCTTTTCCACTGAACTCATTCTGGTTCAATAAATGTGTGAACAAACAAAAGTATTTTTGGTCTTAGACTAAACTAACTTACAAGTATTTTTTCAGCAGGATATAGGAGCTTGTTTTCAGTCAATAATTACTTAATGCTGATTTAAAAAGTCCTGTTTCCATCGACAGGTTATTCCACCTGTAACATGAGGAAAATATGTTGTTTAGGTTAAGTTGTGTCAGTGGAACTAGAACTTTTTCATTAATATTAATGAATTATTGGCTTAAAGAAGTTCCTATGTTTTGCTTTAATGTTATTTGTAAATTAATTTTGTTTTATTTCAAGTAAGATATCTGGACTAGAAACCAGACTAAACATACTTGGTAAAATTTTTAGTTTTTGCAGAAACTCTGTTTCCTTTTACAGAAATCTCAACTTCCAGCACAGAATTATTTAAAAGGCTCTTAATTTGATTTATGTCATCAAATAGATGAATAAAATAGATTGGAGATTTTGGGTTTTATTAAGATGTCAGAGTATTTCAGGAAGAAATCAGCATTTCACCCCCATGAAGGAAACTTTCCCCCACAGCAGAGGAAACATGTAGATTGTTTCCGCTCCACACACACAGTGATGTCAGAGCTAATAAAACATGACGGCCGTCGGCCAGACGATGCTGGCGCTGCCCACGTGCCAGACGTGCCACGTTAAGGTTAAAGGTCACAAGAGGTAGATGCATGGAAAAAGGATGGGTTTGTTTTTTTGACAAAACTCAGTCAACTGAGTCATACAGGATTTAGGAAACTTTCAATATTTCTTATCTTTATGTCACCCAGCTTTATTTTTTAAGGTTTTGTTGGCTCTAGTGGCCTTTATTTGAAAGTAGTTCAACAGGAAAGACGGTAACGAGAGAGGAGACATGCGGCAAATGTTGCTAGGCCGGGAATCGAACCTGCAACCGCGGCAGGAAGCCTATGGCCTCAATGCGTGGGCCACCACAGCCCCCCACCCAGTTTTATTTCATTTGGTTATTTTGCTTTTTACTTAATTAAAAAATTTATTTCCATTTTATTCTCTTTTTTCTACTTTATTTTAAATTAATATTTATGTTTTATATATATATATATATATATATAGTCCCAATATTATTTTTTTGATTATCTTTTATGATTTTTGTTACACATTTGAAACTTAACATTTATGTTTTTGTTAATATTGTTGTTTTATCTTTTTGCATCACTTTGTTTCCAGTTTTGACACATTTGCAGTTTAAAATATTAACATATTTTCATCAATATTATTTTATCTTTTGCACAGCTTTGTCCTCAGATTTTTTTTAATACAAACTTATTTTTCCATATTCACAATATTAAATGTATTATTATTTTACATGAATCCTCTTTTTCTGTTGTTTGTTCCCATTTATTGTTTTAACACTTTTGTTTACGTTTGTCTTATTGAGTTTCCCTGTTGCTTCATGTTGGATCGTGCATTTAAAACATTTTTTTACATTTTTTACTCTACTTGCTGATGTTGAGTTATTGGTCAGGTTTGTTGCACCTTCAGCTTCTTCATGTCGTTTTTCTGTCGCTCCACAGACAGCAGGAGGTTTGCAGGAAACATATTTTAAGACTCTGGGTGATTTAATCCGTAACTACAAGAGGAAGAACCAAGGTCTGGCCATTCACCTGCGCCATGCGGTGAAAAAGAAAACGCCCATGTTGATCCAGCCGCCGAGGAGACCAGAAACACAACCTGAAGCTTCAGCTGGCAGATCAGCTGGCAGATCCAGCGGAGCGTCGGGCGGAGCGTCGGGCGGAGCGTCGGGCGGAGCGTCGGGCGGAGCGTCGGGCGGACACTCATTCCAGAGAGGAGCTGCTCCTTTACCTGAAGAGGATAATGACTATGAGAGTATGTGAAATGTTTTGTCTTGGTTACCTGCAGCGTTCGTTTACTGTCTGTTTTCTAATTTAACTTCTCTGTTTTACTGCAGATGCTCCAAATTCAGATTATGTGGAAGTTATTCCAGATTAACTCTCAAGCCAACCTCAAACCGAAGGACAACAAAAACACAGACTGAACTTTATTTGGGATTAGAGATGCTTTATTTTTTTATGCGAAGCTCTGAGGAGATTTGTTGCATTTGCATAATTTAGATAAAAAAACGGTGAGCTAATGCAGAGTGAATTTCCTCCCAATTACTGACTCTGAATGAGAGGATGAACTTCTGCCGTTTCTTCTCACCTCATTCCTGTGAGCACAGAAGAAGAAGAAAGAGGAAGAGGAGGAGAAGTACTGCACTGAAATGAAAAAACTTTGCGTTTAGTTTGACATTTTGTTTTACTCCTGGCAGTCAAAACCTTGATATTTAATATTCATTTCATTTTAATGATACATTTTTGTGCTGTTTGTTCTGATGTGTATAAAATAAACCTTATCTGAACGTCATTAAAGGGTCACAAGCTGTGAAACGCAACAAAAATATCTGCAAGAAGTTCCTTCTTTCAACACTAAGAAGGACGTCAAGTGATGCTAACATCAGCAAGACATTCCTTCATTAACATGAAACAAGCTCCCATATCTTAATCAGAAGTTACTTGTAAATCAGTTCAGATCATAAACAAACCATTTCTGATTTATGGTAACATTTTGTGATTTTGCAGTTTGCTTTTGACAGCAACTCAGGACATTTCTCAACAATGAAACAGAAGCCAGTGAGATCTTAGACCGTATCAGCAAACCTGAGGCCCAGAAATGCAGAAAGAATCAGAAAAATCGTCAGAAAAAGTTCAGACTGAGGCTGAGGGACGTTCAGCTGACATGCAGCGTCTCCAAGAGGGTCAAAGACGGACATTTAAACCTGAAACTTGATTCAATAAATAATTTCTAAATGTTTTTGTAGATATTTTTGGATTACCACTCCAATGTAAGGTTTTATAGATTCTTTTTTTTCCAGGTGCGGATGTTTTCAGTGGAAACTCAATAAAAATAATTGTAAGAATTTGTTTTTGAGTGTGAAAAAGCTCTGGTTCTGAGCAGAAATTTCCGATTTGCTTGTACAGTTCCTCCAGAAACAAACATCAAGTTTTGTGCAGATTGTGTTTGTGTTTTATTTAGGTTTTTTTTGTGCATGGGTTGCCAATTTCACCAAGATCATCCATTGATTGAAAAAGCAGACAGTCTGACGGAAGAAGACATCTAGCGTGCAGAAAAATGTGAGAGCCTGTGAAAAGAAGAACTGGACACAGAGTAGAACGTAAATGCCAGTTAAATGTGGAAGTAGATCATTTTTACATTGTCATATGAGTCCATAACAAGAAACCAAAGAAAACGATGAGTCACTCCTGAGCCGCAGCAGCGAACTGCGACCGAAGCCGGAGCGTGTTTGGAGGAACTGAAAGAAACGCAGCGGCAGAAATACAACCAGATGCTTTGGATTCACACTTTAGCTCATGAAGTCATGAGAATAAACGACTTGACATGCAAACAGATCGCTGCAGTTCATCGTGTTCATCCAGCTGAGCTGGACCAGACTTTCTGCTCTGCTCAAGTCAAACTGAGTTTAAAGAAGCCAAAGAAATATGGAATATAATTTGGTCAACCATTATGTTTGAGAACTTTAACAGCCACATATTATCTCTGCCTAAAGAGATAATATCTGACTAAATATTTAGATGGCTAAATAGTTAGCCTACAATTTAAGAAATTAGGTTCAAACTAAATGGGTATTTAGTTTTTGGTCTAAACATGAATATTTAGACCAAAAACTAAATATTTAGTCTTCAGCTAAATATTTAGGTAGAAAACTAAATATTAAGCTCCAAAGTAAATAGTTTAAACTAAGAATCTAGTTAAGTATTTAGACATTTAGTTAAATATTTAAATATTTAGTTTATAGACTAAATATTTAGCATACTTCTAAAAGAAAACTAAACATCTATGTCAGACTGGACCTTGTGCCTTTATGAATGTTGCAGCTGCAGTGGAACCGGATCGGACCAGGTAACTTTTCTCAGCCTGTTGTCCGGTTTTGATGAACCGGCGTTGCTGCGAGGCTCGCTGTGATTCTCTGCTGCTGCAGCTCTTCTTCTTCTTCTTCCCCTGTTTTCCTTTAAAGGTTGTTCTCTGATATGTGAGCTGCTGTTTTCTGGTCACCTGAAAACCAATTTCTCTATTCAACCCCGACATCAGCAAAGCCACATCTGTCAAAGACATTTTCATGTTTATGAAATTCAGCATAATGTTCCGTTTGTGACAGGAATTTTTATTTTCTGTTTTTCCATCCATCCATCCATCCATCCATCCATCCATCCATCCATCCATCCATCCATCCATCCATCCATCCATCCATCCATCCATCCATCCATTTTCTGCAGATTTCACATGTAACGTAGTTTAATGTTCTGTCCTTTATTAAATCTATTTGAATTGAATTGATTGGAATATTTTCTCTCTTTTCTGTAAACATGGTTATGAATGGAAAACCAAATCCCTCTTCAAAATCCCTGAAATCCTCTTTTTTCTGTTCGGATCATTTTGAACTTCAGTTCACTGAAAAGGATAAAAACACGGCAGCTTTTCGTTATTAATGATCGTTTTAATCCAGTTTAAAGCTGCTGAAGACAGTACAGTGCAAGAACCTTTATTTGGGTTCACAGTAGCAAAATTAAACATTTTCTGCATTTAAATGGCTTTTAGAAATATAAATGATTTAAAGAAATGACTTTATATTGTTTTAAAATGTTTAGATATTAAAATGAGTTAGTAGGTGATGTGTTCATGATGCACAATCTTACCAAGAACCTGCCAAACAATAAAGGAAATGACAAACCAAGATGTTCTCTTCTGTCACACACACCCTGACCTCTTTTTACTTCAGCCCTGAAGCTGTACTTTTAACTGCTCAGCACTCTACACCATCTGAAGGTTAAAAAAAAAACTGTTTCTGTTGTTCTTACAAGCATTTTGTGTCTGGGTGGCGCTGAACGTGTGAATCACATTTCTCACTTTACCATCCACTGGTCAGCTGAACTGATGCTCTCCTTGTTTATTGTTAGCATGTGAAGCTTGTGACACTTCTTCAATTTAAAGGCGCTGTGCACATGCGACTTTTGCACCTTGCAGGCAGAAAACCTGAACAATAGGATCATATGTCACTTGCTTTGCATGTTAAAACATCGTTACGATCATGCATCAAAGTGCATGAGAAGAGGCTGAAATACAAGTGGCTGTATGGACAGAAACATAACCACACATCCTGCCTGTTTTCACAACTCTTAGCTACGCTGCATTCAAGCCCCCTTTTTATTTGTTTTTCATAGATCTTCTCTCAGCCAAATCAAAACGTCTGAAAACTGAGCTGTCAGTTTTACTGTTTAGATTACTTTCAGGCTGCACATTTAAAAATAATTAATATTTTATGTCTAATATAAAAGGGGAGAGGGGAACTCAAAAAAATGTTAAAACGAGAGAGGCTGTCAAACTGTAGATCTGGTTTAACCACAGTTTTCTCAGTTTGACGTGTTCAGAAGAATCAACAGCAGAGCTGAATCAGAGGCCCACTGACGGGGGTTTTATTCATTCTTATCATTTTTAAACCTGGGATATTTACTGTTTTAGGTACAATTTAACAACATACTCTTTTCACATTATAAAGGGAAATATGTGATTGCTTATTTTATAAGCAAAACAAAAATGAGGCGATTATCAGTACATGTCGACACAACGGTTCAGAACCAACATCAACTTATTCGGATAAAAATAATTTATTTAATTTTTACTATTTTTTTTCTAGGCCAGTTATGGTTAATCAAATGTTACAATGGAAATATGTGTAAAATTTAGCAAAGTGCACCTTTGCTATAAGTTCAGTTAATGTATTTTTTCAGATAGGTTTTATTTTATCTATAAATAATAAAAATAACCTTCTTTAACATAATGATGTTGTGCTACTATGTGGATTTAGATACTTAATCACAGTAAAATAATTAATGCAACATTTTATTTAAAATCTAAAATTACAGAATATTAACATGTTTAGTCATATTTTGTTTTATTTGTTTTAAATTGAATTAAGCATTTGATTTATCTGATCAACCTTTGTTCTCATTTAATTTTATTTAAATTTTAAAGTTTTTATTCTTTCTTAAATAGATTTTCCTCAAAATGTGAGGCAGATAATGAGGAATAAACAGAAATTGGGAGTAACTTTTATAGTTACATTGAGTAACTTTTTGGTAAAACAAATCTATTAGGAGAAGTTTCACTACACTGTGCTTTTTACTTCTACTTGGGTTATATTATTATGAAGTGTAGCTACTCTTAAAATTTGTGGCACCTTCACTAAATGAAGAACAAACATGTTTCAACCAAAAGTACAACAGATACAGAGACAAACCTACGCTTTATGGTGAGACCTCCTGTTCGTACAAAATATTTATTGTTCTGATGTCATTTTCGATTTGCTCCAGCACTTTGGGGCATTTCAAAAATATACAGTAAAGATTACATATTGAAACTGGAATTACTTTACCCTGTTCTTTAGTCTTTAAAATACAAGAATTTACACATAGTGGTATATTTTAGTCTGTCTCATTGTCTCAATAATCAGATATTTTGATCAGCTCAGATTTTACCAAATACTTTTTCTTACGTGAATAATTTCTTGGACGGCAACTTTTACTTTTACTGAGGTAAAGATTTGTTGAAGTAGTGCTACTCTTTTGCTGTATGTATCCAAAATGAGATATATGAAAAATTAACACTAAAGGAAAATATTTTTTCCAGGCCTGTCAAAACAATGATTTAATAAATTGCAGCAGTAAATTTTTCCTTTTTGTACGACTTACAGTGATATGATTGAATTACTGGTACTTTTCCGTTATTTTGTTCATTTTAATTTATAAATAAATAACATTTTTAATTATTTGATTTTTGTTCAAGTTTGTTTTGTTTTATGCTTCATCCAAACTTGATTCTGTCATTTTAAAGTCAGCGGCTGCTACACTTCCGCATATGACGTACTTCCTGTTGAACGACAGAAAAGAAAGGGGGGCTCGGAGAGAAAAAAGGGCTTTAGTTCGAAGGATAAAACAGTTTTTATTCATTATAATAATTCAAATCTCAGTGAAAAATAATTTTGTTCGAACAAAATTGACTTCGATAGTAAATAGAAGTAAAATATGACTTTTATGTGAAAAAGAGTTATCTCGGTCTCCCCCCTTTTCCTCTACATGGTTCGTTCCTTCCCCGTTCGAACCGAAGCGGGAGGACGTTACTGCTGGGGAGACTGTTGATGTTTCCCGAAGACAGAAAAACAATCCAGGTAGTCAGAAACAAGCAAACAAAGATTTACTGTGACACATAAACACATAAAATATAGTTATTATTTAACTACACTCCTCGTTTCGTCTTATGTTGTGAAAATGTAGGGTAATCCACAAACAATTGTTGGCAGCTTGAGGGATCAAAGATGGACGCTAGTTGAAACGAGTAGTTGGTTGTTAAATGGTTTTAACTGGCGGTTTTTTCTCCTACAGGATGGACATAGCGACGTGTTTAAAGTCTCTGCTGGTGGCCATCCAGCAGTACAGAGACAGCAGGACCGTTCAGCACACTGCGCAGCTGCAGAAGCAGGTGGAGGTGAGCGCTAAGGCGGTTGTTTTGGATTTTCTCTGAGTCAGATACCTACACACTCTCACACACACACGTCTCTTATCAAGGTAGAGCGAAAACAAATACGTTTTATAGCTTCATTGTTCTGGAATTGTTCTGCTCATGGTCACAGCATGTTAGAGTAGATCTAAAGAGGAGCAGCAAAAGCAAAGGAGGTGGATTAGCAGAGCTGCCAGCAACTGATGGCGTCATCTAGGACGTTACTGTGACATTATCGTCTTTGCTGCCTGGATATTGAGCTGTTAGTGAATCACATAGCAACAGTCAGAAGCTTCTTGAGACCAGAGGTGGGCAGAGAACCCAAACGTTGTGCTCCAGTAACAGTAG